AAGAGATTATTTATTCCTCTATCAACAGCTACGCAGACTGAAGTCTCACGTACTACTATCTCCATTTGGATGAGAACTGTCATACTACGTGCCTACAAGGCTGCAGGACTCGACCCTCCAAGAGCATCTAATCCTCATGAAATTAGAGCGCTAGCATCTACACTTGCTCTACACGGCAACTGCTCTTTGAATACCATAATGGAGGGTTGTTTCTGGAGATCCGATATGGTGTTTGCCAACCATTATCTGAGAGATATCACCAAGGACGTCTCGGGTATCCACCATTTCGGTCCCATGGTCCTCGCACAACAGTTGACAGTTCCTCGGAGAAGATAAGTCAATCTTACAGATTTACTACTTATCTTATAACAGTACTAAATAGCTATATGCTATATATATTTTGCTTAAGTTCATTTATTATCTTAAGCTCAGTACTAAGGTTGTTATATCATAACAATATATTAGCTAACAAACTCTACGGAGTTTTTGCTATTATATATTTAGCTTAAGTTTAATCATATCTTAAGCTCAGTATTATGGTTATATTATAAAGTATATTAGCTAACAAACTCTACGGAGTCTTTGCTATTATATATTTAGCTTAAGTTTAATCATATCTTAAGCTCAGTACTATGGTTATATCATAAAAGTATATTAGCTAACAAACTCTACGGAGTTTTTTGCTATTATATATTTAGCTTAAGTTTAATCATATCTTAAGCTCAGTACTATAGTTATATCATAAAAGTATATTAGCTAACAAACTCTACGGAGTTTGTTGCTATTATATTTTTAGCTTAAGTTTAATCATATCTTAAGCTCAGTACTATAGTTATATCATAAAAGTATATTAGCTAACAAACTCTATGAAGTTTATGCTATCATATTGTCAAGCTTAAGTCTATTTAGTCTTAAGCATAGTATTCATGTTGTATATACTTTGATCATAATATTTATATTGTAATAACCCATATATGGCAGCTGATAAGTTAGCAGCAGGAATTCATCAATTCAGTGCCTTTATGAAGTTCCCATAAGGGTTATTACAGTCATTACAGTACAAATCACTAATTATCTAAATCCAAAGTATTCTGTATTCCCACCTCCGTTTCCGTCGGATTCTACAAGCAAGTAGCATGAGTCAGGATAAGGAAAAATATGTAATTTTCTGAATAAAATTGATATTTTATACTTATCCTGACTCATGAGGTAAGCCCTCCCGTCCTCCCCACATAACACTTTGGATTTCCCTGAAAATTCAAGTGTTGGGCTCGCTGTATGAGGAGAGAGTGAGGCACATGGCAGGAGGTGGCGCCATCGTTCCCGCGCTTTTGAGGGGACAGATAACTCGTGGTGAGTACTAATTAGTGATTTTACATTGAAGGGAACTTCAATTGGGAGATACAAGTGTTCCACTGTGTTCGCAAGAAGAAGAAGACAAGCAAGTAGCATGAGTCAGGATAAGTATAAAATATCAATTTTATTCAGAAAATTACATATTTGGATTGTTAGCTGTTTCTTTTGTACATCTGATAAAGTATGTTATAAGTGATTACAGTAAACGTATTATCATTCATGTATATACTCTTAACGAAAAGTTACAAGCAGGCGTTCTCGTGTTTGTTGTCATGTGATAAAAAACTATTTACAGGCATTCTATAGGAAGCTTCAAAACATTTTCTCTAAGCCTTTTAATGTTTGTTTTTGTATTAAAGTAATTCCTTAATATCTAATATGCTGTTTGATTTGCTTGTTCTATATTCCGATATAAAAGCAAAATTTGCGTTTTTGGAAGTACCAGCACCACACTACCATCTTTGTTTAATTATCTTTAATTTCCATTCGTAGTTTATGAATATTTCAGACTATTTAAAAAATAGCTAGGATTTTCCTAGAATATTGCTGCATCATCTGCAGATAATCCGAACTTTAGTTGCAAAAATGCTCAACTGTAAAGGATCAGTACTGATCCAGTAATGGTCAGCCCATACACGTGACCGACCTGGTCATGTACCGCTGTACCTATGCACTAGATTCCTTCTGAATAATAACTTATGAAGCATTTTGTCAATACTCGATTTCAGGACACGGTGGCTAATCCTACAGGAGTTATATTACAGGTGTGTCCTACTGGAATAATGTTAAGGTGAAACCTTCACATCAAAGGAATCTACCTACAGTTATTTTCCTATAGGTAATAATGAATATTCCTGTTCATTTCAGGTTGACTTTCATCACATCTCATAAAAATTCAACAATGGCCACTTTAGAGACGGATGCAGTTCCCGAACCAAACTTTAAAGCATTGATTCTGAAGACTGCATTAAACCTTGGCACTGATGACCTGGATGCCCTAAAATACCTGTTTAAGGATCTCCTCCCCCCAAGCACGATGAATGATGCTTTTAGTATGTTCACAACTTTAGCAGAGAGACGGTTGATACAGCAAGGCAAAACGTCACTCCTGACTCAGGCCTTTTCGAAGATTGGCCGCAACGACCTTCTAAAACACCTTCAGGGGACTGACCAAGAAGATCTGGCTCGTGATCAAAAGAGCGAGTTTCCCGATGGAACTGTGTGTGACTTCAGGTAAGACGGGGACAGAACGGTGGGCGGTAGTGGGAGATAGACAGAGATATAGCTTTTACAGTGAAACTGGTTGGTTACCATTGAAAGTCAGACGAACACAAAGGAAACTCTGTACATTCTACAAAATTGTTTATATGCAAGCTCCTGATTACCTGATAGATTTACTTCCACCTTTTACTGAAACCATTTCCGGATACAACTTGCACTACAAAAATAAGTTGGTTTCCGGAACACTGAAACTGAGAAGAAATGACATGGAAACCACCATTTCCAGTTGGTTTCCATGTAGTTTTAAAAGTTTCATTGTGGTTTCCATGAAAACTGAAACTGAATTTTGCACCATTTCCGGCTGGTTTCCAGTGCGATTCATTACCCACTCCTCCAAGCCAGATCCAGCTGGTTTCCGTGTTTTCGTTTATTGTAGGTTTCAACCAGGTTTCCAGGTTTTCGTTTATTGTAGGTTTCAACCTGGTTTCCGTTTTTTCGTTTATTGTGGGTTTCAACCAGGTTTCCAGGTTTTCGTTTATTGTAGGTTTCAACCTGGTTTCTGTTTTTTCGTTTATTGTAGGTTTCAACCTGGTTTCCATGTTTCCGTTTATTGTAGGTTGCGTAACAAATCAGATTTGGCTGTTCCTAAATTTCGCACGTCAATTCTCCAAAAGTAATTTATTTATGATTCTGCAAGTTTATGGAATGCTCTCTCCTCTACAACAAAATGTACAAATTCATTATCATCGTTTAAATCAAAGTTACCTGGAAAAAATTACTAGGTTCCAAAATATTTTCTATTTGGTGAAAGAAAGAGAAATATACTACAGTTAAATACATGCAGAACCGTTCGTGTTAATCTATCTGAGAGTACAGCTTGCAATTGTGGTACTCCGGTGGAAGATGCTAACCATTTCTTTTTAAAATGTCCAAAATTTGTCAGTTGCCGTTTTGATCTGAAGCAAGACTTTGAACTATCAAAAGTTCACTTAGACATTGATACCATTCTTGAGGAGTCCTTGTTGTACCCATTGCGGTGGGGTATAATGTAGCCCGAAGAAGAGGAATCACTGTATAATGTAGCCCAAGAGGAATCACTGTATTAATGTAGTCGGGATCCTCCAAGAGGAATCACTGTATAATGTAGCCCTATAAAGAGGAATCACTGTACTGTAATGTAGTCCCCTAGAGGAATCACACTGTAGCCCTAGAGGAATCACTGAAAAATAATGTAGGAATCCTAGAGGAATCACTGTATAATGTAGCCCTAGATATCATGTAGCCCTGTAGAGGAATCACTGTATAATGTAGCCCTAGAGGAATCACTGTATAATGTAGCCCTAGAGGAATCACTGTATAATGTAGCCCTAGAGGAATCACTGTATAATGTAGCCCTAGAGGAATCACTGTATAATGTAGCCCTAGAGGAATCACTGTATAATGTAGCCCTAGAGGAATCACTGTATAATGTAGCCCTAGAGGAATCACTGTATAATGTAGCCCTAGAGGAATCACTGTATAATGTAGCCCCAGAGGAATCACTGTATAATGTAGCCCAAGAGGAATCACTGTATAATGTAGAAGAGGAATCACTGTATAATGTAGCCCTAGAGGAATCACTGTATAATGTAGCCCTAGAGGAATCACTGTATAATGTAGCCCCTAGAGGAATCACTGTATAATGTAGCCCTAGAGGAATCACTGTATAATGTAGCCCTAGAGGAATCACTGTATAATGTAGCCCTAGAGGAATCACTGTATAATGTAGCCCTAGAGGAATCACTGTATAATGTAGCCCAAGAGGAATCACACTGTAGGAAATGTAGCCCCAAGAGGAATCACTGTATAAATGTAGCCCTAGAGGAATCAGCCCAAGAGGAATCACTGTATAATGTATAGATGAATCACTGTATAATGTAGCCCAAGAGGAATCACTGTATAATGTAGCCCAAGAGGGAATCACTGTATAATGTAGCCCTAGAGGAATCACTGTATAATGTAGCCCAAGAGGAATCACTGTATAATGTAGCCCCAAGAGGAATCACTGTATAATGTAGCCCAAGAGGAATCACTGTATAATGTAGCCCCCAAGAGGAATCACTGTATAAACACTCCTTGTCACCTAGAGGAATCACTGTATAATGTGGTTAAAAGAGGAATCACTGTATAATGTAGCCCAAGAGGAATCACTGTATAATTCTGTTGTCCAAGAGGAATCACTGTATAATGTAGCCCAAGAGGAATCACTGTATAATGAAGAGATAGAGGAATCACTGTATAATGTAGGAAAGATAGGAATCACTGTATAATGTAGACCTATATTATGTGTTGTTGTTTTTCAGACTGGTCTTATTTGGGATAGCACGGGATCTGACATCAGATGAAGTTAAACAGGCCAAGTTCTATTTTAAAGACATAATAGGGAAAAAAAAGCTGGAAACAATCAGAAATGCTTTTGATTTGTTGACCATTCTGGAACAGGTCATGCCTGATAATATTATTGACAAACTGAAGAGTTGTCTGACTCAGATTGGACGGAATGATCTCCTGCAAGACCTTCCTGACTACAAGGGTACGTATATTGTTATAGTTTCTAACATTCAGCGCAGGTAAGACTTCAAATATGTTTTCAATAAGTCGTGATTCTGTAAACCCTTTGTGTCAGTCTTCATATGGTATGAAACCCTTGAGGATCCGGGCAAGAATTTGTCTCCAGTAACCCATGCTTGTCGTAAGAGGCGACTGACGGGATCAGGTGGTCAGGCTCGCTGACTTGGTTGACACATGTCATTGTATACCGGTTGCGTAGGTCGATGCTCATGCTGTTGATCACTCGATTAATTACAGACCGCTGCCATAAAGTTAGAATATTGCTTATTGCGGCATTACACAACAAACCAACCATATAAACACATTTCCTGTTTCCTGTTGCCTAGCTTGTAATCTGTGACATAAACTTGTGGCCATGCATCCATTTATTCATTTCACAATATCAAGCAAGCACATATGTTACATTCTGTGTTTTCAGCTTCTGCAGGTGCCTCTAGAAGATCTGTACAGGAGGTTCGTCAGGACTCTGTAAGTATCTGTTATAATGAAATCTTACATGTTTTGCGTACAGTGAATCTGAATCAGTGTTGAATCTATTGCCTACTCCTACCTCAATCCGGGATTAGCTCTTAACGCCCATCCAGCGACAGTCGTGCGAAATAACTGGTGTTATTCGGCAAAAACACAGACACTACTAGATCGTATGGAATATGGGATTTCCGGAATATAAAGATCTGAACTAACGAGAGTACTAAACGCGTTTTTTTTCTGTGGGCCGTTCGGGTTGCCTAGTGGTTAAAGCGATCGCTAGTCACGCCAAAGACCCGAGTTCGATTCCCCACGTGGATGCAATGTGTAAAGCATGTTTCTGGTGTCCCCCGTTTTAATATTGCTGCAATATTGCAAAATACGACGTAAAACTAAACTCACTCACTCACTCACTGCAGGGACATGCCGCCGCTGCGCCCAAACCTGATGGAGCAGCACCTGGTTCTGATGCAAAGAAAGCCACAACTAAAGTTCTATTTCCAGGTAACCACCTTGGCATACATCTTGAAAAATGTAATCATCATCCAGTCGAACTGATCATATCAGCTCTTATTCTACCTTCAATGAGCGTCAGTAGATTACAGTGATGTTTGATTTCAGCGCTTCTGTACCTCATTTCCTATTATAGTTTGATATCAACTTTATTGTTCCAGGTTCTCTTGGCAAAGCCAACCCAAGGTATAGATGTCGAAACAGTTAGTGATATGGATCTGATCAGCCTAGCTGCTGCATCTGTTTGCTTAATTGGCACCTATGGAACCGGCTTCAGAGTGGGCGATAAGTGTATAATGACAGCAGCGCATGTCCTCCAATTCGCCCTTGGTAAGAAACTAATTTATATAGGATATTTACCAAGTTACAGTTTTCTTGAATGAATATGTTGAGTAATCAAGTGTGAACACTGAATTACTACAACCTATCGCTTACTATTTCACACAGGATAAAAAGTAAATATCAACTGCTGACCTAATATGGCAACAATAATAGTAATTTATTTATAGTTTAGGAATCTATTCATGGTTGATGAAGGAGTATTTGCTTATTGTAATGCCCTTTTTTTTAATTTACTGCAGAAATACAAGACGGAGAGATTTTGGACGTGGATTTTGGTGAACGTTCATCATGTTTCAAACGTTGTGTTCAAAAAAAATTAAATTCAACTGAACTACACGTATATGCACATTTCACCCATGGGCGAGATTGTTACTACAAACTCACGACTTTACGGTATGTTGATATACATTTGGATACCGCTGTGGTAGAACTAGCACCTTCTACAGATGGGAACCCGTTTCCACAAGCATTCACACGCTTCCGGGGAGACTATAAAGGCAGGTTCAGCTTAATAGGCCATGTAGGGGACCGGAAACTGTACAGAGAACACAACTGCTACACCATCACTGAGAGGGAGGTCTTTCAGAGGATGAAAATAGAATTGTGGAAAAGAGGAATCAAGCCTGATCATCTGGAAATCTATGACAAATTTGGAACAGACTCTTCCTTTCTGGAGTTCCACTGCTCCTTGACACATGGAGCGTCAGGGTCACCAGGTTTTGTCGTGCACCACGGTGAAGTCTGTGTTGTCACCATGTTACAAGCAGGATACCCCGAAAACCCATCTGATATACCTATAGACCCCAGACTCTGTGTAGAACAGGGTGTTACCATGACAGCTATTTATCAACATATCAAGAGCACAGATAAAGAACTCCACCAGGATATTTTTGGTTGACACTGATGTAAGGGGTTGGGCATTCAGTGCTATCACGTGCGACTCTAGAGACTGGAGAAATCTATGCTGCAACGTTATTTGCATCGTAATGATAGAACACTGAACAGTGATCAGTACATTTTAGACCATATGTGCGTGAGTGAGAGAGTATGTTTTTACGCCGCTTTTAGCAATATTCAAGCAATATTACGGCGGCGGACACCAAAAATGGGCTTTACACATTGTACCCATGTAGGGAATTGAACCCGGGTCTTCAGCGTGACGAGCGAACGCTATAACCTATAGGCTACCCCATCGCCCCTAGACCATATGTACTTGATATTTAATAAAATCATTTTGACTTTTGTTTTATCTCTCACCGTACTAATTGCAATATTAAAAAATGACTCTCAAATGGCATTGTAAAACTACAATGAAGAATACCAGAAACCAATGCTTTCAACCAGAAAGCCATGCTCGAAATCTAGGTGTCATCTTTGACTCAACATTAAGCATGGAAAATCACGTCAGTAACATCTGCAAATCTGCATATTTCCACCTAAGGAACATCAGACAGATTAGCAGGTACATGGACACACCATCAGTAAAATGCCTAACCCATGTATTTGTGACATCACGTCTAGACTACTGCAACAGTCCACTCTATGGAATACAGCAGAAGTACATGAAGCAGGAAAATATCGGCAGCCATTCACCGATATTTCACAATTTAGCCTAGCGCACCTTTGCCTCGTGATTCAATGGGAATGTCGAGGATGTGAGTGAGTGAGTTTTAGTTTTACGCCGCTTTTAGCAATATTCCAGCAATATCACGGCTGGCCCACAAGAAATGGGCTTCACACATTGTGCCCATGCTGGGAATCGAACCCGGGTCTTCGGCGTGACGAGCGAACGCTTTAACCACTAGGCTACCCCACCGTCCCGAATGTCGAGTGAGAGACGATGCTGCTGTAACTCGTGCTTGCCTTATCAGCATCAACTGTAACGGAGTTCATGTCATGGTTCTGCCGCGATGGTAATTGTGTGTGATGGTAGTCACAGCGCGTGGGAGGTGATCATGTTATCAACCATTGATTTAACCCGCATTGACACTAACACAGCAATCAAACAAAACCAGTTATTCGCCGAACATAAGCTTGAAAACCTGCATTCACAAATACAAGACAAGGTTAAACATTTCCTCAATATCCCAGCTGTGTATATCAATGCTCATGATGTCAATCACTAGACTGTCTGGACCAGACTCGATTATTTACAGACTGCTGGAATGTAGCTTTCTTCTGTGCTAATATTTGAACGTTGTTTGCAAACATGAATATATGAATGCATCTCTAAATGGTTCTTATACATTTCAACAACAGAGGCAGTTAATGCAGCTAATGTCACAGAAACTTTGTGATTACGAAATTGATGTAACGGAAAATTCATTCATTACCACAGATAAGTCCCAATGACAAAATGGAGTTGACGGGTATGTGACATTAGACCAATTCGTGGAAATTGATATGTACGGCTTTTTACGCTGATAAAACAGCACATGCTTTATGATGAAAGAGGATAAACCCTCATTGGAACACTTTGTATTATTTTTACACATTTTGTGGTGTCATTTGTCACAATATACCGATTGTTTATCAAAAAGTATTAATTTTGTGACTATTAATGGTTGTACATGGTTATCAGTAGCTTTCTGAACAACATATATGGACTTGTTACTGATGGAAACCTAATGTAAGTAAATGTGACTTCAGCTCTCTTGTAATATTGATTTTGTAGGTATACAGGCCATTTATAGAGCCTTACCCTTCCCTTCCTGATGCTAACATCACAAAGACTCTGTGACATATCGCAAAGTTTCCGTCGCAAAGATCACAAAGATTCCACTCTCACTGTACAAGTGATACTGATGGACCTAAAATGCAAGGTTAGAACTCAAAACAGTTTTAGCTACTGGACTAGCTGGAGTGAGTCGTCAGACAACTAACTCAAATCTTACAGGTCCACACGAACAAGGACCAAGAGATTATATTTAAATTCTGTAACACCAGAAGTGGCCTAAACTGAGCAGATAACCGGGCGAAATGCTTGGGACTGCCTGTTGAATAGTATGATGTCATAATGGTGACGTGTACTGGAAGTTACCATCTGTGTTACGTCATTTACACGATAATAATCTGCGTGGGATATTAAGGCTAAATGCCAGGCAACTAACGGTATGCAGTGAGTGAGTATGGTTTTACGCCGCTTGTAGCAATATTCCGGCATGGGACAACAGAAATGGACTTCACACGTTGTACCCATGTGGGGAATCGAACCCGGGTCTTCAGCGTGACGAGCGGACGCTTTAACCACTAGGTTGCCTCACCGCCCCGTCAAGGAGGTCGGCGGTTGAATGTTTGCTGTACATCATACGTTAAATGATGGCACATGTTGTTATCCTGCCTCCATCGTTAAGGGCGATCACAAACACAGATTGCCTCTGAGTGTTTCACCTGCGACATAGCACAGTGAGCCAACATTGTACAACTTGCATTAGCCCGGGCTAGTACAATCAGCCACACACGTGCATGCACGTCCCGATAAAACTGGAATAACCATGAATCCAAAGTTAAAGCACCCTCACCTCACAAGGTTCTCGCGAAAAGGTTGGTTGGTTGTTTAACGCTGCATTCAGCAATATTCTAGCTATGTGGCGGTGGTCTGTATATGATCGAGTGTGGACCATACAATCCAGTGATCAATGGGTTATGATGACAAGCGTCAACTCAAACAAGTCAGCGAGCCTGACCAACCGATCCCGTTAATGGCCTTTTACCACAAGCATGCGTTGCTGAAGACCAATTCTAGCCAGGTATCATCACGGGGTTTCACGTAAAGGTGAACGTGTACTATGCTATCAAACTCGAAGTCCATTTTCCGACATTCTCGACATTCCTCTAAATCCGCGGCGAACACAAGGCAACAATTCCTGACTCATCCTGTTGGGCCTCATCCACATTAGCTAACAGTTCACAAACGATAAGAATAAGTAATAATTTATCACATCAAAGATTATTTGCACATATGAGAATTGAGCAACTGTTTTCTCTCCCTTAGTGTACTATAATAGTGCCGATAAATTGGAAATGAAGACATCAAACGGGTGATAACTGCATCTCATGTTGTGCTCTGGAGGAATGTACAATATCACAACAATACATGGCATGCATCCGAACATAAATATCTGGCATTCGCCGGTATCTATACTCTTCAAAAAAAGTAGTGGAACTTCATTTTTAATTGACGATTGAAGAAATTGGGAGATATATCGGAGTCAATCTATGTTTTTGTGATAATAATGAAAGTTGTGAGAGTGCATCACTACTTGCACTTCCTTATGACCATGGTTGTTTGTACAGTAATCGCTCTTGAAAGATGATTGGTGTATGACATGAAATTTGCATGAGAGGATTGTCTCCCTTGGCTGGCTATGTGCAGACGCGTGTAATCACAGCTCTCACAAAAAGCCCAAAGTTATTATTTGGAGTGCCCTTCCTAAGAACCAAATGGACTGAGAAGTAAGTGCATAAGCTACTGACACTATTGATGTGAGCTTTTGTGATTTTTTTGGGTCAGAAACTGTGTTTTTGAAAGGAAAACTTTAACCACGTGTAAATCCCATCCGACGGTACAGAGGTGAAAGATACCGTGCAGTGCGTGCTACGGGTGTGTTGTCTTCTCTGCAATTTATTCATTAACAATGCCACCTAAGCAAAAACCAGATTTGACAGAAATTAATGCAGATATGCAGGAATTTCGTCATCTTTTATCGGAAATGCCTACGAAAAATGACATAAAACAACTAATGAAGTCGGTGGTCGACGAATACTTTGACTCATTAAGAGAGCAGTTGAAAGACGAAATTACGGAAACTGTGATCTCCAAAGTGGGCATAGACGAGGTTAAAACTGATATGATGGTCTTAAAGAACGAAAACGAAAAGCTCTGAAGAGACTTAGAAAAAAACCAAACGCAAATGGATGAAATGGAATCGAAAATTGCTGAAGTAGCTTCTCGTGCAACCGAAGCTTTTAGACAGAGTAATCAAAACGAGCAATTCTCCAGAAAGAACAATATCAAAGTGTTCAATTTACCCGAATCTTAAGGTGAAGATGTGAGAAAAAAATTCATGGAATTGATGAAAAGTAAAGCAAACTTTGATGTAAACCAGGATGATATATTGGCTATTCATAGAATTGACCATGCCAACAAGTCAATTACAAAACCGGTGTTAATAAAATTCACATCTTCAGAGGCAAAAGGCCAAGTTATTCGCTTGAGGAAACAGATTCGGGAGAAGTCGGAGTCGAAGTTAGCCGATGATGTTACTAAAACTGACGTTGTCCTCAAGAGTCACGCTGGGATTGAAAGTGCTTGGTATTTCAACGGGCGGGTTTACGCAACGACAACAACGACGGGCAAAAGGTTCAAGTTTAACCCCTGCGACGACATTGACAAGGTTATAAACCGAAAGTGATTGACTGTATCGTTTCATTTAACATAGTGGACAATACACCGGTGTTACGTAAGGATAACGTAACGGTTAAACGCGCCCCACGAACATTGCGCGCGAGGTCGAATTTAACGGATCTTCTCACTTGTGTTGTCGAATATAACCTGAACTAAACCCCCTTTTGTTTTTTAGTTCTAGGGAATCATTGTTTACATTGGATACTCATACTGCCCCACATGGACAGTGTAGGAAGCGACAGCTTATTGGCGGTATATAACCAAATGTGTTCCATGATCATCTGTCCATTCATTCCTGTGACGAGAATCAGTAACTGGTGATAGACTCAACAGACTTCAACGACAAAGTGTTAGATACCGTTCATTATCTTATTTGTGACTTTTTTTTTACCACTAACATGAAGGTAGTTCATAATAAGTTACTGATATATGCTGATTAAGATGTAAAAATATGTTGTGTAAATTGGGCAAAATACATTGTGTAAATTGGGCAAATGTCAAAGGGATTACCAATCATTCTCATTTTATTTTTTCCTCTCTGCCTACTATCCCTACTATCTCTCTCTTACTCCTCTCTGTCAAACTACCCTCTCCCTGTCAAACTACCCCCTCCCCCCTTCTCTCTCTCTCTTACTCTCTCTCGCACACTCACTCAGTTCTACTCACTTATTAAAAATAAGACATGAGTAATTTGTGTATTTTATCTATAAATGCCAGGGGCCTCCAGTCGGACAGCATAAAACGTAGATATTTTTAATTTCGTACGAAATAGGAAATCATCTATAATATTTATTCAAGAATCTCATAGTACTTTAGAAAATGAACAGACATGGGCA